ATTGGATTTTTGACGATTTATTTACTTGTATTCCATCGTTCTAGACTGATCGTCTGAAAAATTTCGATTTTTATCGTTATCGTGAGGAGAAATATAAAACTGTGACAATGGGCAAAAACAGAATTGAAGCCCGAATTGGGACACGTTATTAAAAAGCTTGAAATGGAAGAATCTCAAGACGAAGCCTTCTTCGGTGACGAATGGAAAAGGTCGAAGAAAGGACAAACGAAAACAAGGATTATTTAAGTAGGATTCAATATTGGAAGAACGGGGATATTTTAGTTAGGATTCACTTACGGTAAACCAGCTAGATCTCTTTCTCTCTCTCTCTCCACACACACACACACACACACACACACACACACACATATATATATATTCTTTATGTGTAGATTATATCGTCTATTGTGTGTGTGTGTCACCACAAAATGTCTACCCTTTTCCGGTGTCGATCTTTAATTTATTTGAGGTCAGCGATTCAGAAATGTCTTAGACATCCGAGAATTTTCATATTTATTTTTATCTCGCTCATTTAAACCGTCTTTGACTCCCCTTTTTAAAACTTCTCTCTATTAAATTTTAATCCCCACCTTCACCTTTATACCTCCCTGTTCTTCTCTCGTCTGTTACCCCTCCCTATAGATTTCATTTACTCTCGCATTCCTCCCACATTCTCATACATACACTCTCACTAAATTTTATTTTTTATTCCCGGGCTTGTTTTTTCTGTTTTCTTTTTTAATTTGTAGGTTTGATGAATTGGATCGGATTTACGATTCCAATGGAATAAATTATGACCATGGTTTAATTATGACCGTGTTTAAGCCTTATTTATTATTATTATTATTATTATTATTATTATTATTATTTCTTATTACCTACCAAGTCTACCTTAAGGCAGGTCGTGGTGTGTTGTTATGGCCACATTTCATGTTAATTTTTTTTTTTTTTTTTTTTTTTTTTTATCTCGATGAAGTTGCTAGCGTTATTATATATTATTATTATTATTATTATTATTATTATTATTATTATTATTATGCTATGGACACACTACCTACCAAGTCTGCGGAAAGACCTAAGGCAGGTCGTGGTGTGTTGTTATGGCCACATTTCATGTTAATTTTTTTTTTTTTTTTTTTTTTATCTCCGATGAAGTTGCTAGCGTTACATAGACAAAGTTCTCCTTAGTGTGTGTGCTGTACTTAATAATACAATTTTCTGTATGTCTCTTAAGCTGGGGTTTTCAGGGATTCTTTCAATGTGTTGTTTTGTTCCATTTTTTTATAATTCCAAGTGCACCTATTACCACTGGTATTATTCTTGTTTTCAATTTCCACATTTTTCTATTTCAATTTCCAGGTCTTTGTATTTTGATAGTTTTTCAAATTCCTTGGTTGCTATGTTACAATCCGCTGGACAAGCCATATCAATTAGTAGGCAAGTTTGTTATTATTATTATTATTATATATTGTGTGTGTGTGTAATGGAGAAAGAAACACGATTCTTCCGTGACTCTAGCTTCAAGTGAAGCAGTGAAAAAAGGCGAAACGTGTGAGGTGGAAAGGATAGATAACCTGGGGTGGGGGGACCTGAAAGAAAAAGAATGTAAAAGAAAGAGGAAAATTCAAAGAGGGAGAGGGAGAAAAAGAGAGAAAGTAAATAAAAAGAAAGAAAAAAAAAGAAAAATAGAAAAGGTAAAAGATGTGATGGGAATAAAAAACAAATTCTAGGATTCTTTGACTGACATCAGAATTTTAATTGTCGAAAAAACCTGCAATAAAATCCAAAAATTAGCAATCAAAACAATTTTATTCACACTAAATTTACATTTTCATTTTAAAATTAACAAATATAAAAGAACAAATCATCGTTAGAAATAAATTAAATTTATTGACAAATTTTAAAAATATCAAAATTGCTTTGTAAAAAAAAATTTTTTAATTTTTTTTTTTAGGTTAATTTTGAAAATTTTCATTAAATATTTTTTCCAGCGTCTTTACTTTAAGACAGAAATGTTTTTTTCTGGAAGCAAAAGTCCTTGAAAAACCTTTTGATGTTTTACTGAAATTTGTACAAAACCTTTTTCGGTAAAATGGGAAAAATTACAAAAAATAATATGGCCAAATTTATTTTCACAAAAATCGAAAGATTGTTCTTGTTGCTCGAAAAAATACTACTACTAATATTAATACTCCTACTAATATTACTATTGCTATTATTACTAATAATACATTTACAACTACTACTACCACAACTGTTGAGTTTGAAAAGTGATAGTAATTTAGAAATGTGAAAATCTTAATAAAACTCAAGATATCACCTGAGATTCATGCATTTATAAATCAGTTTAATTACACTCAGCTAATCTTCCTCAAATAATATTTCAGAAAATTGTATTTTATTTTTCAAACATTTTTAATAAAGAGAATTACGTTATGTTAACAGATTTGTAAAAATTAACCGCTTTTAGCGTTTTTACTGATAATAAAGAAAATCATTCCATTAAATTTTAATTCGGATTGAAATACAGCAAAGATGTTAGATGAGTTAGAGTTAGGAACTGCTTATTAATTTTGTTTTCCTTTTTGTTTTACCACAGATACATTGCTAAGTAATTTGTGTCTGCACACTTGACACACACATACACACTTATATATTTTATATATATATATATATATATATATATATATATATATATATATATATATATGAATATAAAAAAGAAAAAAAATGAAAACTGAATTAAAGAAGTTTCATCCTTAAAAAAATGGACTTTATCATGGATATTTATCACGTTGATAAATTCCGTCAGAGGACAAAACGAATTGGTAAAGAAAAATTTTCCTTTTGTCTTTATTCAGATTGTCATTTTACAGATATATTTTATAGGAATTATCACTAAAAAAAAAAATACCGTGATGAAGAAAGACGCCAAACTTAATGAAGAAAAGGTTTTATCGTCTAAATGTTTATGGTATTATTAAGAGGATAAACCAAAGTATTTTTTAATTATTTTTTTACATTTTTTAACCCTTATTAGCACGTCCGAAATTTTAATTAAAATTTGTTTGTTTTTTTTTTTAGTCAGCGAAATTGCCATGAAATCGATGATGTCCGCCATTTCTGAGAAATTTCGAAAAAGGTTAAATTCTTCGTTTAAAAATCTTGTACAAATCAGTTATAACTTTTTTCAAAATTTATTTGAGGAAAATTTAAATGTTACTTAATGGAACTTGGAAACTAACATTACTTAATTTTTAGCAGAAGAAATTTAGTTGAAAATAAGAGAAGACTGTTTTAACTTTAACTCTGGTGACTTGTTTTGAGATTGAATTGACAGTTACATCGATTATTAACAGCTTATGTCAGGGGAATTTATCGGACGGAAGGTCTGAATTGAACTTTTTTTTAATTATTTTTTTGAACCAGCTTATTTAACTACAAAGTATTTTTTTAAATTAAATATTTTCAACAATCTAATATTTCATTCATTTTTTATGTACTTTAGCCTACGTTTGAAGAGGATTTCTGGAAAAATAAAATTTAAAATACTAACAATAAAATAAATTCAAAATTTCATAATTGAGACAGAATTAAACTACAGTGCTGTTCGATAAAAGTGACTCACCTGATTATTTTTTACTAAATGTTCTCTTCTCCGATGAAACAAAAGTTGAGCTAAATTCAAAGGATAAGCGATCTAAAATCCAAAGAAGAAGCTTTGAAACTCTTTGAATTTAGCAGTAAGTACTATCAAGCATCCGTTCAGTATAATGTTCTGGGGATGCTTTTCTCTTCATGGAACTGGTTTCTTAAAACCTATTGAAAAAAACCTCAGGGGCGAGCAGTACAAGAGAATTTTAGAGTCTTGTCTGCTCCTTTCTGCTGAAAGGATGCAAATCGACCCCACCAAACTCATTTTTATGCAGGATAATGTTCCCTGTCACAAATCAAAATTAATGAAGGAATACTTTGATGAGAAGCAGGTGAGTGTTATGACATGGCCGCCCCAATCTCCTGACCTCAACCTTACGAAAAAAACTTAGGGAGCATTATAAAGTACAGGCCCTCGAGAAAGCATTTGAGCAACAAAGGAGGATTTGATTGTGAATTTCATATCCGAATGAAATTCAATGCTTGGAGATGAGATTTGCCAGAACCTAATCAATGCCAAAAAGGGTTGAAAAGGTTATTCAAAATAAAGGAGGACCCATAGATTATTAAATATTTCGAACTATATTACCTATTATAAATAAATTATACCTCTATTATTCTTTATTTAAAGCTAATCTTTTATGTTTCTATTGATTACTAGTTGCGGGAAATAAGTGAGTCACTTTTTTTTTTTTTTTTTCAGAGTTTTTCTCTAAATCTCATTTATATCCAAAATTATAATTATCAATAGAATACCTTATTTGAGTAAATATTTTTTTACTAGGTGGTCGGTAAGGGGTCTTTATATTAGTAAGATTAAAAATTAGTTTGACCCTCAAAAACAATGCGTTTTTAAGTAAAATAAATCAGGTGAGTCACTTTTATCGAACAGTACTGTATAAGAGAGAGGTACCTAATTTTACATACATCTATGAAATTTTATGGCATTGTTTTATTTATTATTAACTTTTATATTATCTCAGTTTGTTCATAACTGAGATAATATAAAAATTAATACCATGAATAAAAATAATAACATAACATTTCATAAATAAGAAAGGTACCTAATAATTATAGTGCCTCTCTCATTTTTTCTAATTTGACAGTTATGAAAATGGGATTTTTTTTTATTAATTATGAAACCATTTACACTTTTTATTTAATCACAAAAATAGAAGTGTAAAAATGAAAGAAAAATTGCTATACGGTTGATTTTAGACTTTCGTGAAAATTTGGTGGCCTTTTGTTGAAAATATTCTAACGAAGATATGTCGAAAGCGTGAATCCCTTTTTTCTGTCCCTCAAAAATTGAAACTAAAAAAGAAAATAATTAATAAATGTAGTAGATCTCCATCTATCTATCTATCTATCTATCTATTCCAGCCTCTTCTCACATCTATCTATCTATCTATCTATGGAAAACAATAAATGAATTAAGTTTAAAAAAATTAAATTAAAATATTTAGTGAAATAGGATGTAATTATTTTTTTTTTTAAATTGAAAATGCGACGATGATAATCAAGACATACTTTAATCTTTTCACTTAATAATAACATAACCATTTTGACGATAAAACTTTTTGTTGTTATTTTTTGTTTGTTTGTTTTTTTTTTTTTTTTTTGGTTTTTTTTTTGTTTTTTTTTTTTTTCGGAGATTTGCGGAAATTCCTGATGGGCTGACAGGACTAAAAAAGGATTTTTACAGGATTTTTAAAAGGTTTAAAAAAGAATTTTATTGATTATAACTTCCATAAACTTTAATAAAATCCAAAAATTATCTGATTTTTGACGGATTAAACAATAATAACTCATTTTCCGTTGCAAAATTAGTCGGGTCATTTTTTTCTCTCATTTTACTTGTGGTATTTTTTTGTTTCCCCCTAGTGTAGAATCGTTAATTAATCTGAAACTTTTAAAACCATTTATTTTATTTTCAAAATCATCACTTGATAAGACACAGAGTGTGTTGAAACAAAATGGCTATTTTTGTAGTAATTTTATAACATACTTATGTTATAATTATTTTTATAAAAATAATTATATATATATATATATATATATATATATATATATATAAAGAAATTCGCTTGAGGATGGAATGGAACTAATGTCTTTAATTTAATTATAAAATTAAATTCGAAGCTTTTAGCTTCCATTTTTGAAACATGGTTATCACTGTGTAGCGAGAAAAAACATATTTTAAATCAGTTAATTTATAGTATATATATATATATATATATATATATATATATATATATATATATATATATATGCACACACTAGCGTCCGGGTCATATTCCTACCTTCTAAATCCCTTTCCGTTCTCTTTCACCACCAGTAGTCCCTTGCCAATCACACTTACACACCCAATTTGAGTGTGTCCAAAATAAGACACTGGAATAATACATTTTCCTTCCTCTCAGTCTGAACAGCCTCTACCCTGGCCTGAGTAATAATGTTGGAGACACGGGAAAAAAAAGTAACGTAAATTTATCAACAGTAGACTGAAAATGAATTAAAATCTTGATAAAAATCTAATTTAGCCATGTTGCAAATATGAAAATTATTAAATTCTACATATTTTAATGTCTCAGACCGACAAAAAAAAGAAACATTAAAAATTTTAAAATCACAGAACTAAAAGCAACCATCAGCTTAATTCCTCGACTTACAAAAAAAATCAATGCTTTTCGTATGTCATTTAGCCTTGGTAAAAATCTCATTTAGTCATTGTTGTGATATACGAGTTGCCTCCCTTGAACCGTTAAAGATATCTCCCAGATTACTTACGTCCCCTTATCTATTTGTTACTAAATACCACCGTTAGGGTTTTCCAAACGCGGCATTAAACCTGGAGTGAACAGAGGGACTACACGGGTATCCGGCAGTCGGGAATAAATGATTTTAAATAAATACCAATCTTGGTCGTCATTATTAACTTTGACCTTTCTTCAAATGTTTTTTTATGCCTGTCACCGGCAACTTCGACATAGAATAACAGTCATGTGTTAGTTATAGTGGAACAACCTGGTCCAAACCCCGACATTGATTGGTCAGTCTATAAAAGACTGACGAACTATTGAGAGAAAGTGTCAGAAACAGAAAGTTGCTTGCTAGGGGTTATGAGAGTCGTGATTTGGACGACGAGTCAGAAGGGATTCCATGAGGGCGAGAAGTTCACTTCTTCCCAACTGATCTTGTTCTTTAAGCATTTTTAAAGTCAAGATCAGGACGGAAAGGCGGCGGCTCACCTCATCAGAATTTGGCAAAAGGTGGGTGAATCTTGCGCGTATGTGCCGAGTAAAAGGGCTGACCTTGAGTGGCATTTGGATGCCGGTTAGGCATTAGGATATTGTTTTCCTGGGTTTTTTATACCAAACCACGACACAAATCAGTCCCATCCCGAAATTAGGTTAGCATAGGTCTTGTTTTTTTTTTTGTTTTTTTTTTTGAGTTTTAGTTTTTCTTCTTTTCAGTAAACTTAGCTAGGGTGTGTTTTGCTCATTGGTCCTTTTTATTTCTGTCCTCATTTTTCTTCCTTTAGTTTAACTCCCCAATCCCCTCCCTCGATTAGGTGGTCAGTGATGTCAGTTCTCTGGTGGATGCGGGGCGCCTTTCGTTTCGTGTGTGTGTTTCGTATTTGTTGTGTATGAATGAGTGTGTGCCTGTGTGAATGCTTGAGGAGGAATGAGTGTGTCCTTTATTTTCAGAAGTCCCGCATCGATTTCGTCCGGTTAACTGATATTTCTGCCACAATTAAAGTTTGTGGGGGGTTTTAATACTAACATTAATTTTGTTTAGTTTCTTGTAAATATATTTGTCATATTGTATATACTCATTGGGGATCTTTTTAAAAATTGTTGTTTTTTATGCTCCCCCCCCCCAACAGACAATACTTGTAAATAAGGGGAGTATTTAGGATTTTCCTTGAGTCAAAGAGGCATTTTGGTGAATGTAGTAAGAAAGGTATGGATAAATGTGTTGTTTTGGTGAAAGGAATATTGTTTTGTATGATAGGGTCAGTGGTTGGGGCTAGCTAAGTTTTATACTAAGACAAATGATGACCGTCCTTTACCCCAACCCCCTTTTCGGCCTTGTGCCACATTTATTGTATTTCAATAATAAATATTGTCAGAAACAGAAAGTGCGACACTTACGAAACTCCGTGACTAATTTCCTGTTTCCCTTAGTATTACGAACTTGTAGTACAATAAACCATTGTTATTTGTTACCTGATTTCCTGTGTTAGTGAAATCTTTCCACTCAGGATTACTTTGTTGTTTATATCGTATAATCCACGATATAACACTTGAAATAAAAATTATGTTCGGATAATGTCCTTAACCCATAGATTCACCAATTTTTGACCTTTTAAAAATGCATGTAATGATAATTAATACAAAAGTATATATTGATGCACTGATAAAAATTATATCTCATAAAATATAAAATATTCAAAGAGTTCATAAGTTCATATCAGAAAGTTCATATGTTGAACATCTAAGT